AAAAATACTCTTAGATGTAAAAAAATTCATACCCAAAATTTTTAAGAAGCAATTTTCAGTTCAAACAATGCTACGTTAAGAGCATATATATAATTAACCTAATGGAGGTCATTTTGTGAACTTTTTGTAGCTGTTTCCAATTAGAAATTCATTTGAAAATATGTAAAGAAATACATACGAAATTTTTTTAAAGAAGCATTTGCTTAGACTGAACCGTGCCACGTTAGTAGCACATATATATATATGGTCAACATAGTAGAGGACAATTTGTGAATTTTTTATAATTTTTTGCAATGAAAAATTCATTTGAAACTAGTTTCAGATGTCAAAGTTTTGGTCATTTTATACAAAAATGTCAATATGTTTCTAGAAATCAGTACTCGAAATTTTTAGGAAGTATTTGTTTACTCATGGTATAAGCATTTTTATCGATAACATAATGGAGGACACTTTGCGAATTTTTCATAATTGTTGACAATGAGAATTTCTTTGGAAACTTGTTTACGATAAAAAGTAAGTGTCAAATTTTTCAAAAATACCCATAGTAATGCAGAAATAAATACTAAATATCTTTAAGAAGCAGTTTTTTAGTATAAATCATTCTATGTAAAGATCATATATACAGTTAACATAATTGTGGACACTGAAAATTTGTTATCATTTTTGGAAAATAGGAATTGATTTGAAACATGTTTCAGACTTCAAAGTGAGCGTCAATTTTTTCAAAAGTACAAATATGTTTCAAGAAACAAGCACTCGAAATTTTTAAGAAAGATTTGTTTATACTGACGGCAGGAGCATATTTACCGACAATATAATGGAGAATAGACACATGATGGAGAATACAACATAATGGAGAATTTATCGACAACATAATGGAGAACACTTCACGATTTTTTTATTATTTTTTGCGATGAAAAATTCATTTGAAACTTGTTCCAAAATACAAAGTGAGCGTCAATATTTCCAAAAATACCCATATGTGTCAAAAAATAAGTAATCTCGAGTTTTAAGAAGGATTTATTTACATCAAACAATGATGTCTTAAGAGCATCCCTAAATGACGAAAAGGAGGAGAATTTCCGAATTTTGTATAATTTTTTACAATGAGAAACTCATTTGAAACTTGATTAAAACTAAAAAATGAGGCTTCAAATCTTACAAAAATACCCATTTATGTCTAAAAATATGAACTCAAAATTTTTGAAAAGCAATTTTTAGTCCAAACAATGCTACGTTAAGAGCATACGTATAAAAATAAAGAAGGATTCTTTGCGAATTTTTTGTAACTTTTTCCAATGAGAAATTCATTTGAAACCTGTTTCAGAATCCAAAGTAAGCGTCAAATTTTTCAAAATATCCATGGATATGAAGAAATAAATATTTAAAATTTTTAAGAAGCATTTGTTTAGTCTAAACCATGCCACATTAAGAGCATATATATGGTAAATATAATAGAGGACACTTCATGAATTTTTTATAATTTTTTTGCAATGAGAAATTCATTTGAGTTTTGTTTTAGATTACAAAGTTAGCGTCATTTTTTCTTAAACATAACCATAGTTGTGAAGAAATAAATATCCAAAATATTTAAGAAGCATTTCTTTAGCCCAAACCATGCTGAATAAAGAGCCATGCTACGTCATCTCTACTAAGAGTTTATTAGCGGGGTTTAACTCTCATCCATACTGAGGAAGAGGGTTGTAGCACTCATCCAATGGACGAGAGGTCATCGATCCGAAGTGGTGTGAAGCACTCATGTCAAAGCACTATACAAGGAGAGGTCATGACCTTTAAAAGTGGAGTGTAGCGCTCATTTTCCCCCTACTAATATAGATGCGAGATGATAATTAAAATGACCATCCGATGTTACGTAAGCAAAATGAAGATGGATATTTTGATCGAAGGAAAGGTATTACTTATAAAATTTGTTTTAAAAGTGAATTTTCACATAAATTGAAGAGGTTAGTAGAAAAAAAATTATTAAGGACATTTTTGTGAATTTTCTAAATTAAATTAATATTATCTGAAATCAATAATGTAGGCTTAAATTAAAAAAAAAATTAAAATTAAATTAAATTAATTGTGCTTAAATATAATGAATTATCCTTTTTTAAAATATTCCTAAACAAAATGAATTACACATAAATTAAATGAATTTCTTACTTTTACTTAAATTCGGTGAGTTCAGGGAGGCTTTCATATCCCACTGCTTGATCTAGGAGATCCCTTGTCTTCTGGATAGGGTTCAAAATTAAAATGGCTACGGAATTGAACAATGATAGTGGTAAACTTAGATTTTGGCTGACTGTTCAATGGCGGTTATAAGATAAAATATAAAATTGATATTATAATTATACTTGGTGGGAAGGAAACGTGAAATACTTACGGACCGTTAAGGGTTTAAATTATAATTTCTGCTTTGAAGATATACATAAAAAATTTATATTTTAAGTTTTTTTTTTAAAAAAATGTGGTAAGAAATTAATTTAATAATTGAATTTAATAATTGAATGTATAATTTTACTAGAACAACTGTCCTTAAAATATATAAATCAAGCATTCTTTTCAAAAGATAAAGCTGATACAGTATTCTTTTTGATACGTACTAACTTATAATGCTAATTAAATGATTTAAAATAACACATCGTTAAGTGTAAAACCACTCATAGTGCGATAAGTTTCAAGTATCGGCGGAAGCTGAGTGGTATGTATGTTACTCATATGTAAAGAATGAAAAAGAATAAGCAAATTGCATTAGGCAGCTTCAGCATAATTTTAAATTAACGGGAACGAACATACTTTAAAGAAGAAAGATTTCTTAATGAAGATTTGTAATGAGTATCAACGGAAAGGATATCTTTAATTATGTTTTTAAGTATGTAACTAATTTGAAATTTTCACATTCTTCAATGTCTTAATTAATAATTACAATTATTGATCTAAAACAGCAACGCTAAATTACATTTCAAGTGAAGAAATCGACGGTTTCACTTACGCCTGCGTCGGATTTGCGCAATGCTTATGGGGTTCTATAAAATTTTCGCAAATATTATGGAGTCCCCTCACCAAAAAGCTAAAGAAACCCTGGTTTAGGTTGCTTCTTTTTAGATCGAAATAGCCTGTGGTTGTAAAATGTGGGAAATGTGTGGGGGTATGTGATTATGAATTGATATAAAAAGCCTCTAAAATATTTTCGTTTTGAAATTGAAATATATTTAGACTCCCCTCCAGATTCTTGAAATTTCTCTTATTTTATTAAATGCATAATTTTTTATTTGTTTTTTAAATTTAACCGTTAACCATGGAAATAGTTTCATAGTAAGACCCTTTGTTTGTGAACATAAATATTATTCTATACTAACCTTACCGTCCCATTCAGGCATTGAAATTTGCATAATTTGCAGAATTCCGGCATTTTAGCTCTCTGAATTTTTAACATATAAACATATTTATAAAAATTGAAGACATTTTTAAGCCTTCATCACTTTCCATAATAACACTACTGAATTGTTTAGGATTAAAATTGAAGATTAAAATAATGAAGCATCCGAGAATCTGCGTCAACAGTTTAAATCAGTTTTTCGCTTATTTTACCTAAGCTATGAAAAAATAATCCAGCATTCACCGCAAACATGGAGCTCCGTTCACAAATTTCCAGTTATGGAAAACAACGTAAGAGCTTTTAAAAATTAATATAATTCAAAAACAATGTTTACTTTTTAATTAAATGCATTTCTATCTGGTGCAATTGCATCATTTAACCCACCCTGAGATTCTGTGAAATATATATTATTTATTATTTAAAAGAATGTACAATTTTTAATTGATTGTGTTTCCATCAGGATGCAATTGCATCCTTTAATCCCCTGAGTTTCTATGAAAAAATAATACTTATTATTAAAAAGAATGTACTGTTTTTAATTGATTGTATTTCCATCAGGATGCAATTGCATCCTTTAAACCCCTGAGATTCGTTGAAAAAGTATAATATTTATTATTAAAAAGAATGTACAATTTTTAATTGATTGTGTTTCCATCAGAATGCAATTACATACCTTAACCCCCTGAGATTCCTTGAAAAATATGATATTTATTATTAAAAAGAACGTACAATTTTTAATTAATTGTATTTCCGTAAGGATGCAATTGCATCCTTTAAACCCCTGAGATTCTTTGAAAAATGTAATATTATTATTAAAAAGAATGTACAATTTTTAATTGATGGTATTTCCATTAGGATGCAATTGCATCCTTTAACCTCCCTGAGATTCTTTGAAAAATATAATATTTATTATTAAAAAGAATGTACAATTTTCAATTGATTGTATTTCCATCAGGATGCAATTGCATCCTTAAACACCCCTGAGATTCTTTGAAAAATATAACATTTATTATTAAAAAGAATGTACAATTTTTATTGATTGTATTTCCGTAAGGATGTAATTGCATCCTTTAAACCCCTGAGATTCTTTGAAAAATATCATATTTATTATTAAAAATAATGTACAATTTTTGATTGAATGTATTTCCATCAGGATGCAATTGTATCCTTCAATCCTCTGAGATTCTTTGAAAAATATAATGTTCATTCCTTCAGAAACATTATTTCGTTATTGATTAAAATTCAGTCTTAAAAAGCTTTTATATAAAATACAGAATTAGAAACTTTTATTTATTTTTAACTCATTGCAAAAATGTCCGCTTTATGATACTATGGAAAAATGATGTAAATATTTGACTTGAAAATTTAATCTCATTACAGGATATTTTCCTAAACGTAAGTCGGTATCCTTTAAAAGAAAATCTTGATACAATAGAAGACATCTTAAATAATTGACTCAGCTTATCTATCACATATTTGGAGTCACCTATTGAACACTGGAGAATCTCAGATTAGCCCTGTCGTTTACAATAAGAAGACGCTGTTTCGAGCGTTCGATGGCGATTATCCATGGCGCCCTTTGGCGTCTTTGACGCCAACCTTGGAAAGGACGAAACGTCGGAGACGGGACTGCATTCGCGCGCGGTTAAAGAGAATGGATCACTCCGTCAAAGCCATGAACAGTCACCGTAAAGTCGTTTTTTCACGACTCCTCAACAAACATCAATTTGAGAATGCAGAACTTGAGCAATTATATCGTCGTTATACCATTAAATTGCAACAAACTTCCAGTGTTTTGGCCCTGGTTGCTTCACTGGCTGCCAGCCTAGCTGCACTGCACGTGGCTTCAGTGCGTTTTGTGAGCGCCGCTGCACTCTACTATATTTTCGTATTTTTGATCTTTGCTGTAGCCCTTTTTCTGCTACAGGGGGGCTATGCGAAAGATACTCATTTACCGCCCCTGTGCTACGCGGTGCTCTTGCTGTGCGGGGGTCTTTGTGTATTGGGGCTGCCCGTCAGCGTAGCGGAGAGCGTGACATGGGGCGCCGCATCCTGGGGCCAAGAGCACGCGGCTGCTCATGGTGTATGGGAAGTAGTCTTCGTACTCTTTATTTCTTATTGCCTATTGCCCCTCAAAACAAGAGTTGCAGTTTGTGTGGGAATAATCTTACCCACTGTACACACTATTGTTGCCGGCACATCATCCAAACAATTACCAGAGCTACTTTGGCAACAGGTAAGAAACATTCTTTAAGTCACACACTAATTGATATTTATATAATTCACTAATATTTACATATTATTCCTTATTTGCAAAAGATATTTAAAAAAAAACGCATTTCTCCCTCTGTCTCTCCCGCTAATATATATATATATATATATATATATATATATAAAA